GCACCATCCAGTGCGCCACCGGGCCGGCCCAATCCTCATTTTTTTGACCTGTCTGCACCATGAGTACTATTGACTCTTCCTCAAAACATTTCCAATTGTTTTTATTTTTCTCTCTGGCTGCTTCTTTGATGTCTCCCGCACCATCCAGTGCGCCACCGGGCCGGCCCAATCCTCATTTTTTTGACCTGTCTGCACCATCAGTACTGTTGACTCTTCCTCAAAACATTTCCAATTGTTTTTATTTTTCTCTCTGGCTGCTTCTTTGATGTCTCATTTGCCAGTCTATCCTCTTCTTCCCAGCTGATATTACCAATAGAGCTAACATATTTTGAACTGTTACTATGAGATAGGTAACATGACAGGTACTTTCTACATACACATGCTCCTTGACTTATGATGGGGTTATGTCCTGATAAACCCATCATAAGCCGAAAATATCACAAGTCAAAAATGCATTTAATACAGCTAACCTACCAAACATCATAGCTTAGCCTAGCCCACCTTAAATGTGCTCAGAACACTTACATTACCCTACAGTTGGGCAAAATTATCTAACACAAAGCTTATTTTTTAATAAAGTGTTGAATATCTCATGTAATTTGTTGGATACTGTACTGAAAGTGAAAAGCAGAATGGTTTCATACCATCATAAAGTCAAAAAATCATAATTCAAACCATAAGTCAGAGACTGTCTGTATTATCTCATTTAGTCCTCATAGCAAGTACTAATGATTTTACAGAGGATGTAAATGGTACTCAGAGAGGGCAAAACAGCTCGTGGCGGTAGAGACGGGATTCAAAACCAGGCAATCTGGCTCCAGAGCCTGAGCTTTTAAACACAATGATGTTAGATTTCTGAGTCCTCTTCTTATCATCTTTACCATGCCCATGGCTTTCATTTCTATGAAGTTAACTCTCAAATGTATATTTTTAGCTCAGTTCTCTCCTCTGCATTCCAGACCTGAGTATTTACCCAGTTTCTTGACATTTCTGCTTGGCTGTCTTAAAGGCACATCAAGCTAAATAAATGTAAAACATCATCGTCTAACATCATCTCCCACTTCCCTTACCTGCCCTTATTCCAGCACCCTCTGTGTAAGTGACTGGCACCACATCTATGCAGTAGTGCAAACCAGAAACCAAGGCATCTGTCTCAGTCCCTTCAGGCTGCTATAACAAAATACCATGGATTGGGTGGTTTATAAGCAACAGAAATTTATTTCTCACAGTTCTGAAGGCTGCGAAATCTAAGATCAAGGTGCCACCAGATTCAGTTCCTGGTGAAGACCCACTTCCTGGTTCATAGACTGCAGTCTTCTTGCTGTGTCCTCAAGTGGCAGAAGGGGTGAGGAAGCTGTCTGGG